TTTCCCTAAGGAGTCTTTTTAGGCTTCCTACTATCCCTCAGTAAAATGCTAATACCACTGTATATCTCTTTATGCATTTTATTTGCATCTTATACATAAAAAGTGTTCAATTTTTTTCAAGTGCATGATTTAGCATAAAATGAGATTAAATACTTTAGAAATATTACTCAACAGAAATTATAGCTTTTGCTTTTTTAATTGTGAGAGGGTGCATTCACAGACAAGAAAGTGACAGAGAGAGAGAAAGCAACCCCGGATGGGTTATGGTCATGCACAACAATTCTTTCTCCAATTTTCAATCCTTGTAAGGATTTTGGGTGCATAGGCACTCAGCTTTTTTTTTTTTTTTTTTTGCTATAGGGTCCATGTGCTTGCCAAGAGAGGGAGAAAGTGGCAAAACACTTCCCAGGGGGATGGCCACACACTAAAATCAACTTCTTCTCAGGATTCTGGGCACACATGGACAGGCACCAGCATGGTTTTTCAAGTCACCAGATCTGAAACTCAAACCATGCAGTCAGCCATGTGGGTGGGATGCAGCCACGTTACCCAGCACACCACTGGCTGACCTCATGCCCTGCATGTTTTTCAAGCCATCAAAGCCAGGATTCAACTGTGGTTGGGTACATAGGAGCCAGTTCACTTAACCACTAGGCTATGGCACTGACCCAATAACAGTTTAAAAATAATATAAAGAACATGGACATCAACCCCTATAGTCCATTTAGAAAAAATGAAAACCTGTAACTGCTATCACATGCTACGGACATACAAATCTTGTTTTATTTCTTTTTTCTAGTAAAAATTATTTTAATATCTGTGTACTTTGTTGGCTGTCTATAGTCAGACAGATTTTATTTTTTTTTATATATTTTTGCTATAGGACACGTGTGCTCTCCAGAGACATAGGAAGCAAGAAATCACCTCCCAGGGGGACACAGTCACATGGCAATCTATTCTCCTCTTGGGATTTTGGGCACGCATACACACATGCCAGGCGTGAGTTTTAAGCCACTGGGTCCAGGACTCAAACCACAGTCAACTATGTGGTAGTCCAGTGATATAACCATTACACTATCTGCTGGTCTCCCAGTACCAGAAAATTTTAAGAACTGAAAAAAATCTGGTAGTGGTCACAGGCATTTCTTTTCATCAGACTTTCCGCTATTTAGAACTTTGCTGTCCCACAAACTCACCTGGTTTAACCCCAATTCATCCATTAGGTCTGAGTTTAAAAGTCACTCCCTCAGAAAGCATTCTAGAACCTCAGGTTTCAAATAGGTCTCTCTAATACTCTTATCAGCCTATACTTTTCCTTCAGTCCATTCATAGTCTTTTAACAAGGGAGTGTGTTCTGAGAAATGAACCATTAGGTGATTTTGTTGTTCTAAGAATGTCATAGAGTATACCTGCACACACGTGGATGGTGAAGCCTACTATACACCTGGACTATCTGTACAGTCTATTCTCCACGATCCATCCCATGTGCAGTCTGTCAATAACCTTGGCGCCCTCATCTAGCACATGATGCTGATTATGTATTTGTGGTTGCTCATCTATTTAATCTGCGTCTCTCATAACATCAAAGCCCTGTAAAAGCAACAGACCTCTCTAGGTCTATTGTGTTCATCACTCAGATGCATTTACACATAATTTCCTATTCCCAATAATCTTTCTTCTAATTTCATATATATGAAAATATCCTTAAAAAAAAACACAAAACCCAAAACACTGCAGAAATCCTGGGGATTAGAAGATACCTCAATCCATAGAAGAATGAGAGAATAGTATTAAAGCTCTCCTTGTACTCAAATGACAGCCACTAGAAATAAGTACTTTACCAAATCCTACAAATTCTGCAATAATATATAATTCGAACAGTTCCATTCAACATAATTGTATTAATGTCATGAAATACTGAAGGAAGCAAGGCATGTGTGTCTTGCTTAGACCACTGTGCTTAAACGTTCCCAAAACACTGCACTCTGGTGACAACTACACACATTTTTACACTTGCAAAGCACTTTTTTTTTAAACCACTTTGCTACACTTCTCTGATAATTTTTATGGACGCCCCCCAAACAAACAACAAATAAATTAAAACACTCATTACCTGCATGGAAGCCACAGGATCTTTGGAATCAACGTACACGTTTTTCAGTAATGACAGCAACTTGTCATCTTTTCTGTCAATCTCTCCCTTAATTTCTGGATGGCCTAAACGGAAGGAGGAAAAAAGCCACAATATTATAAACAGGGAAAACTGGTTTCCTTCGCTGTACATGAGCCCTCCTGGCAGTAAGCCGCCAAGTACTAACGACAAAGGTCGGAGTCTGCGGGGTCGGCGCACACAGGCCGCACCTCTGGGACAGTGAGGTAGGCGGAGCCGCTGCCCTCTCCGCCGGCGCAGAGCGGACAATCTCAATGTCACCCGCCTGCCGCTCCACCCTCGCGCGCCGGGCGACACAAGGCGCTGTAGTCGAACAGACTGACGCTGTCACCCGGCCTCTGGACTGGGGACCATGGGCGCAACATCCAATTCAATTACACTCAAAACCCAATGCCCGCACCCGACCCCGCTGCACCCTCGCAACACTCACGGATCATCTGTTCCTGCAGGAGCCTCTTGGTGGAAGGGTGCTTGGGAGCAGATGAGGGTTTCATCTTGCCGATTTCCCTTTCCGCTCGGTTCTCTAGGTTGAAATTTCTGATCGCGCGAGTCACCAAAGCCCCCATCTCCTTACAACATGATGCCCGCAGCGTCTCAGCGCACGTGGGAAACACCGGCACCCGGCGACCTCCGGGACGCAGGGAGCTTGCGCAGGAGGAGTAGAGCCGGCCGCGCGCTGGGGAAACAGACGCTGAAAGTGCGCTCATCGCCCCCTAGCGGTCGGGAGGTCACACAGCGTGTCTCTTCCCGGAACGTAACAAAGGGAGCATTTCCTCCGTAATCACACCTGGAGCTGCTTCCTGCGGGAGGGGTGGGGTTTAGGGCCCCCACACTTACGCGGGTTCTTCATGCAGGAGGTTGCGCAGAACTCTAAAGCAATTCAGATTTTCTGATTTAATTCTTCTGGTGGGAGGTTCCACATTGGTAAAGCTTCACACATGCTTCAAAGTTGCAATCAAGTAGAAAATCAGAGTTGTAAAAGAAACTGACTTTGGAAGTCGTTTGACAGGTCCATCCTGCCCAGTCTATCAAAAAGCAAGCCATAAGAATGCAATTTACCACTCCAGGGCCACGCAAGATTTTCAAGTGTCTTTTCCTGCTTTTGTGAAAGGAAAATAATAAAAGGGTAATCATTCCCAATGAATATTTGTTCTCAGCCACTCTTTATCTGAACATCCCTTATTTTCCTGTCTCCTTACCTGATGAATTTCTGAGCCACCATAATCTCTTTTTCCATGTTTTCCATCTCGTTCTCATACTTTATCTGACTTAATGGTATTTTAGTTGTGCTTCTGTTCTCTTTATTTTCCTACTAATTTGATGTATTTCTCCATACAATTAGGTGCTATTTCTCTTCTTTCTTGCCTTCTTATTCTTTCTAACCCCAAGATATCTCTATGTAATTTAACGAAAGGAACAGCCAATAAGACTTAAGAAAAGCACAAGTGTTCCATAGTCTCCTTTTCCCATCTCCATTTCTAAATGGGTTACTGTAGTTCTTTTATTTAATACTGTCTAGAAACAATGTGGTTAATCCATAATAAAATAAATCCCCCAGGGAAGAAGTAGTAAGGTTTCCAAAGTCAAAAGTATTTCTCACAGACTGTGGCTCTCATCTCTGCATAGCAGAGTTTTAAAGAAAAATAATATATAATTCTTAATCATAGCAAAAACACTTCAAGGAACATAGCTACAGCCAATATCTTGAAACTTTTTACTGAGATTGTTATTTGGAATTATACTCAGGTTTAACACCAGTGTCGTGTGATAGAGTTAATTTGGAAGTTATCCTGAAGGTGGCAGGCTGCTCCAAGATTTGCATCTTCCAGACTTAAACTTGCTCACAATTCAGTTCTTTTTAGCCAAGGTATTTATAATTCTACGGGTGCCAAGAAAGTTTCACCCGTTCCACTATGTTTATATGCCTCAACAATTATGGTAGTAATTCTACTCACTGGCTATAAAAATATTTTAAAAGCTAAAATTTTTCATTTTCATAGAAATTCCACACCATACGTGTGGCAAAATTAAAAAGTAATGTTAGAAATTACGAGTGTGTGTGTGTGGGGGGGAGGCTTGGAGATTATGGTATAAAGGAATTCCTTGAATGTCTGCATTTAGGTAAGCTCGATTCAACAATTAAGGAACATCCAACTTGTGCCAGATGCCTGGCCCTAACCAGGTGCTGCTCAGGCTGTTGAAGAGACAGAAGGCAGCCGTACTCTTCCCACAACACACAGTTAGCTAGCACCCTTGGAAATCATCGTAGAAATAAAATGTGAAACACAATACTGCTAATTTGATGTATTTCTCCATACTATCAGGTGCTGTCTATTTCTCTTCTTTCTTGCCTTCTTATTCTTTTTAACCCCATTGATTTTTTTTTATTCTTAGTTCTAGCTCTTCATGTCAAATCACATAAATTAACAAGGAGTCTGAACTTGAGAACTCCCCAATGTAATGGGTTTAAGTCAGGTCTGCAAAGAACGCATAACCAGGATGCTGGTTAAACTTAAGTGCCCACCGACTGCATGGAGTGTTATACTGGGTGGGTAAGGCTGAGTACCTGAAGACTAACGAAATTAATGGGACTTCTGTCACCACACAACGATGTAAATTCAGTGACAACCAAAACCGTTGTCTGTTTTGTTTCCTGCTGCATCCAACTCACTGGAAACTAATAGTACGTAATTGGTACTAAACAAATGTCGATTAAATGTCAAATGAACCCCAAAACAAGTAGGACTCCTGAGCTGGACTCAGACCCTGGACAAGTCCTCTCTGCCTCCACAGCAGCCCTGCTACCAGAAGTGAGTCTTTGTGCAAGTCACTGATCTGGTCAAACCTGCTTTCCCCACCTTAAAATTGGTGTAACAAGAATTACCTAATGGGTTTTATACATATGAAAAATTGTCTGGTACAGTGCCTAGCTCAGAATATGATGTTTAATATTTGCATTGCTTTCCATTTTTCAGAACAGGGGGAATTTAAAATACATAAATAATATAATAATATATGTATTATAGTATATAATAAATAATGTAATTATTTATTATAAATAATGTAATAATAATATCCAGAAATTCTGATAAATAGATGAGGGAAAGGAATAACATAACTGAATATCTAAAGGCAAAGTAAGACCTATATTCCTCAAGCATTTAATTTTTTCTTCTTATTTTTTTTTGGAGAGGTTTTTGCTATAGGGCGCATGCGCTCGCCAGACAGACAGAGAGAGACAGAGAGACAGAAAGTGAGAAATCACCCCCCAGGGGGATGGCCATGCCACAATCCCTTCCCCTCCATTCTCCTCTCGGGATCTTGGGAACGCACGCACACGCGCCCAGCGCGAGTTTAAGCCACCGGGTCCGGGACTCGAACCGCTGTCGACTACATGGGAGTCCAGCGACATAGCCATTACACTAACTGCTGGTCCCACAAGCATTTAATTTTTAAAAAACATGTATTCAAAATATAAGTGTTATGTGTTGATTAGCATGCTCTGCACACGTAGTGGCATTGCTGGGTTCATTAAGGTTGGACTATAGGTGGAAATCGTTAGTTCAGGGGCATAAAATGCCACCTGCCTTTGCCTGGCGCTGGTGGAGGAACTGGTCCCCAGGCACTCCTCTCTTTGCTTCTTTCTATCCTTCCCTCTGCTTCAACATTGACTATTACACGGTCCTTCCTTGGGACAACATTCTCCGGCTTTCTGTGTTCTCCAGATGATTGCAGTCACTAAACCTAGCTGACAGGTGGCTCAGGGGCCCAGGCAGCCCCCAGATGTTTCACTGACCAAACCCCAAGCACTAGTGAAGAGTATAGCAGATTACGAAGGAATGACTTACCCTGGCAGAGGAATAGGCCTTCAGGCAGAGAGACTCTCTCCAATGCCTGGGCTGTAGCTCAGGAGCCAGGAAATTTATATGAGTCCAACTGAAATCATTTGCAAGGTTCCTACGCTTGGCCAGTTTCCTACTGATGCAGTGTTGTAGGTTTGTGAAAGCCAGGATAGTGTGGGGAAAGCCCAAACAGAAAGCCAGCACAAACTAGATTACATGTAAATCTGTGTTAAGAAACATCAATAGCTCATAGATTAGAATTAGCAGCCAGCAATTATGCCCAGATGCCTGCTCTGTGGTTACTGCATTCGTGACTTTTATCATTGTACTAATTTCCCATTGTTGCCTGTAAATTACCACAAAAATGTGGTTAAACAATTTAGGACCAGTCAGTGGCACAGTGGTTAAGGTGTCTGGATCCCACATGGCTGACTACGCAGTTCTAGTCTCGGATCTGATGGCTTGAAAAACACGCTAGGCGCATATGTATGCTTGCCCAAAATCCCAAGAGGAGAATGGAGAGGAGACTGCAGTGTGCTCATCCCTCCTATGGGGCAGAGGGGAGGATGCTCTCTCTCTCTCTCTCTCTCTCTCTCTCTCTCTTCTGTGTCTCTAACAAGCACGCATGCCCTATAACAAACTTTAAAATCTTATAGCTCTTTTTTTTTTTTTTTGGAGAGGTTTTCGCTATAGGGCGCGTGCGCTTGCCAGACGGAGAGAGTCATAGAGACAGAAAGCGAGAAATCACCTCCCCCAGGGGGGGTGGTCACGCTGCAATCCCTTCTCCATTCTCCTCTTGGGATCTTGGGCATGCACGCACACGCGCCCGGCGTGAGTTTTAAGTCACCGGGTCCGGGACGCGAACCACGGTCAACTATGTGGGAGTTCAGTGACATAGCCATTATGCTAACTGCTGGTTCCCAAAAATCTTATAGCTCTTGAGCTCAGAAGCTCAAAATGGGTCCTATAAGAATAAAAAAATCAATGTGTCAGCAAGTTTATCTTCCCCCTGGAAACCTTAGGGGAAAAAATCCATTCTCTTGACATTTCAGCTTCTAGAGGTTTCCTGAATTTCTCGGTGGCAAGCAGTTGCATCACTTAATCATCACATTTCCTTTTCTGTTTTGCCTCCTTCTTTCCCTTTTAATATCCTTGTGATTACATTGGACTATGTGGAATTCAAGATAATACCTCCATCTTGAGACCCTTGATTTAATGACATCTGCAAAGCATCTTTTGCCATGTAAGGTAACACTCATCGGTTCAGGGACTAAGAGATGGACCTTTTTGCAAGGGGCATTCTTCTGTCCACCACACTCCTCATCTTCAAAATATCTGAATCTACCTGTGTAGCTACGATCTATTTAGTAATAGACACAGACAGAATGTCTAGTAGTCTACATTCAGCTCCACAGAACTTATATTCCAATGACGTTACCTAATTATTGAAAGAATATAACCATCTTACTCAGGCAGTAGCATGCTTTCTCTAAGGATTTGCATAAAGGCCATGACATATTAATAGCAAATTTGCCACCACTTTGTCCATTTTGTACACAGCACAGGGAGGTGATCTTTCCTAGATCTCTAACTTTTCACTTCCTCAGTGAGCAAGAGTGTGAATCTCTGGTGCATATAAGCAGAATGACTCGTTTCCTAATTATAGCATCTTAGAAACATCAGAAGTCTATCACCTTTCTCTTCTCACTCCTCTTCCCATCTCATTCTTTCCTTAGAGTTTCACAGTTACCCACCCATTCCTTTCTTCTCTTCAGTTAAGGTTTTTCTTCTCTGTATCCAGTTTTAGAAGGT